CATATGTTTTTAAATTGGCTTATTTGATGATTTATTTTGGGTAAGTTTCTCTAAGTTTGATATCCTTTTTTGGCTGATTGGAACATGCACCAAACATATATGTAAATTTTGGTGAATCAAAATTGGTAAGTTGTTAAAATCATCGTTTTACAATTTCACTTAGGTAACTCCATACCTATTATATTTTGAAAATTGATCGTTTTTGGGTAAAATAAGTATAGGATAGATGGTTAATATATATATATATATATATATATATATATATATATATATATATATATATATATATATATATATATATATATATATAATATTTCATAATTCACCTATTTCCCTGGATTTGAACTCTCAACTTCAAAAACATAGGATAAAATTTGATACCACTAAGTTAAAAGTACTTTGGTTATTGTTATATTTTAAAAAATTTAAATTTTATATTGGACTAAATGAATCGAATATGAACCCCTAAAAGCTCTTTTGAGTATTTATTATTAACTAAATGGTTAATTGATAAATATAAATCGATTTTTTATATTTTAAACTATTTTTAAGATCTTACAATCCCAATTTGATCTTACAATCATATTATTAAAAAAAAAAAAAATCATAGATACTAATCTTAAAAACCGATAAAGATAACATTGATTGTGAATGCAACGGTTCTAATTTTTCTATATTTTGTTTTTCATCCTTTTTTTTTTCCTTTGATATGTTACTAGATTATAATCCGCGTTAAGCGTGGAAAACGCATAAAAAACATATAACTGACTACAGATATTGCATAATAATTATAAAAAAATATATGGTTATTGGTATTATTGAAATGTGTAGAAAATACATTGAAAACGATAAATATCTATAATCATTGAAGGATCACTTTGTAGACAACACTTTTTGTTTTAATAATTGAACGACATTCCTCGTCTCATATAATTATGATATTATTATATAATTATAAGCATTTTAATTAGACGTTCATTTATAATAAGGTTACATAATTTAAACATATATTGACAACCAATATACTGTTTTTTCCACTACATTAAATATTCACAACTATTTCATTTATTCAAATAAAGTCATATAATATAATTTATAGAATGTTAAATGCTATATGGATTTAATTTTAGTATACATCAATGTAGATTCTTTTCTAAATCATAATTGGTTTATTTTAAATTGATTATAAATATAAGTGCTAGCTTTATGTTTGTTCTTATTTATCTAGTGTTCGCAAGAACTTTGCATTAGTTTTGACGTAACTTTGAATAATTTTAATATATCATCAATGTAATTTGGTCTATCTTTCAATTATACGAAATATCAAATAATAACATTTCATTACTATTGTGATAATTTAGTTTATATATTGTATTTTTACTAATGTTAACAGTCTTATTTTTTTCTAATAATCGTAACGTTTTTACTAATTGTACTTTTTAGAAATCTTTAAATATCTTATAATTTTTATCCTACTTTATAATTTTTCATAACTATGTTATTTTTAAGATTGACTATCTTAATAGTTTTTTTTTTCTTTTCAGTCTATTCAATTTTATATTTCATTGTACAACATTATCGTTTATATGTATTCTAAAATTTCACTTTAAAAATGCTTAATGTTTACACCTTGATATTATTTTTCTTTTAACAAACTCGTGTAATAATTATGAAATATATATCTCCTTTTAATTAACATTTACTTCCTTCATTCAATCAAATTCGTCATTAAACGAATATATTTTTAGAAAGTAATAATTATAATGGGCAACATTATCTAAGACGTAAATGTTTGATATACTTTTGGAGGAAAAAAAATCATGATCATTAAAAAAAATTATATAAAGAAAATACAAATTTAAATTTGGTGAAATTATGGATGAAATTAATGGCGAAAATTATTTTGGAGGAAGTTGTATTTTGTAAGGTATAATAATATTACAAAATTTGAAATATGTATGTTTTTTCTGTAAATTTATAAATTTTATTCTTACTATATAAAGATAAAAAAGTAGGTTGGTATGATATACAAAAACATAATAATTTCAATGATATTTTAAAATCATACCAAAATTAACCGGATTCTTATGACATGAAAATTAAAAAAAAAATCACAATCATCTCTAATATATAAAAGTAACATTTCGTAATAAATATTAGCTCTCAAGATAGTTAATTTCTGTTTTCTTAAAGGTACGTAATATATTTTCTTGTTTATTTGAAAAGTTTCAGAAAAATAGTTAACTGATTTCGTGTAATTTGTGATAAAGAAAATCAAAATATATGAATACATATATTTGATACAGGAACAAAAAATAATCGAAAAAATATAAAAAGCAAAAGAAGGTACTGACCTTCTAGTGCACAATAGCGAATGTTTGAAGCAGAGAATGATGATGGAAGTTATAAGCAATAAGAATGATATTGTAGGAGAAGATTTGAAGAAAAGAAACGATTGAAAATAAGTGTGAGCTGCGGATTCAATGATGAATCGTATATGTATGTGATAATTTGAATATTATTTTTTTGGTATTAATGATTTCCTAATAAAAATAGATTTTATATTAATGGTTTACTAATATAAACAAATATATATTAATGGTTGATATTAATGTTTTGATTCAAATGGTTTGTTTGTAATATGTTTTTAAAATTGACCATAGTAAAATTTTTATAACCGGAAATTCAAGATTTAAAATATGAAAAGTTTTTATTGGAATTAAATACATTCCATTTCAACGAATGGAAGTTATTGTTTGACGATTGGAAACATTTATTGAAATTAAATACATTTCATATGGGGAAATGATGTCAACAATTTGATTTAAGGATGAAAAAAATTAGATTGAAATACAATCAAGGATCCAGATTATTTAAGATGATGTCATAAGGTTTCTCTTTTAATAATATCTAGAGATTTAGAGATTGTATGTAGTTTTTTCAAATGCTATGTTTAATAACGAAAAGAACATATGGTAGACGTGAATCATGAAAGTAATGGTTATCATTAAAACTTTCAATGATATATTTTATTTTAAAAAGTGGGTAATTGGAACCGAATTAGTTTCTAAATCATAGGAACCGGTTCAAGTTCCAGACAATTTTGTTCAGAAAAAATAAAGATCTTGAGATTCAACCTCAATCATATATTTTTCATTTGCCGTTTTGGTGCTCCGACGTACAGATATGACAAAAGAGTTATAATCAATCATGACCATTGGATCAATGAAAAATAAAAGCATTCCTAAAAAAATATGTTAACATTTATTTATTTTTAATAATTCAAATTTCAAATATAATATAGGGGTAATATGTGTATCCTTATTTTAGGCAACAAAATAATCAAATTTTGTTTTTTACGAATTGATTTTTTTTTTTTTTTTTTTTTTTTTTTTTTTTTTTTTTTTTTTTCAAAAAAACATAAACTTTTTTGAAAAGAAAAGCATATTTTTTTGATAGAATACATTTTATTCTCGAAAAAATAGATTTTCATTCCATTGAAAATACATAAAAAAAAACACACAAATTCCTGAAAAGAATTACATCAAAAATAAAAAGATCAAATTATATCTATACTAAATACAAATGTCGGTTGTTTTCTTTTTTCTTTTCTTTACCTTTTACTTTTCATACTTTTCATTTTCAATCCTTTCCTTTTAACACTAATATAGCCGATCTTAAATCTTCTTGCTATTGGACCCCTCTTATTTCTTATCTTTTGTCTCCTTCATAAGTAAAAAATTTGTTCCTTCTTTTTTTAATCGTCGGCGCTTTCTGTACTTTTCCTTTACCATTCCGACGAGGTATTGTCTTATTGTATGATTTTACTTGTAATGTTTTTTTATGCCCTATTTATGAAGCTATCCAACTTCACAAATCCGTTTGCCTTTTCTCGATTTTATTTTACTGCATATGTATGCTTTCCCCCATTTGGAATATTTGCTTATCCCTTTCTTTTTCCGTTCATACCTTATTTATTTATCACAGACAAAAAAAAATTCTTTTTTTGATTGATTTAAAAAGTGTAAAAAGGTTGAATTTTAGTTAATACCCTATTTATCACTTTTTTCTTTCGTCATCATTCTGTGGTAAAAATTAATACATAGATTGTTGTCTGCATCCTCCTATTCTGATGTTGTTTTCTTTGATTTTACTTGGCTTATCAGTTTTCTCTTTGGTTCATACCGTATTTATAACTGAAAAAAAAATCCCTTTTGGATTGATTCTAAATTTAAAAAAAAAAGTTGACTATCATCGTCATCCTCCTCCTGTTCTCAAAACTAATACATATATTGTTGTCCATATCCCACTATTATGATATTTTTGTGTTTCGTCCAAAAAAAGGTTTCTACCCTTATAAGAGCCCTAAGGTTTTCAGGTTCTACTGTTCAGGGGCATAAATTTTGATTAAAAAAGTAAACAACAAATTCTGGTAAAAGTTACAGATAAAATACTATCTACTAAATTTCATCTGATGTCCTTTGTTTATAAAACGTATATGAATTTCATCTGATGTCCTTTGTTTATTAAACTTATATGAAAAAAGTAGATAAAAAACTGTTATCATACACTCAGGGAAGTAGCAAGTTGCCATTGACAATTTCCTTTACAGACCATCTAACAAACTTTTTTTGGTTAAATTTCATCTGATGTCCTTTTTTTATAAAACATATATGGAAAAAATTGATAAAAAACTGTTATGATACACTCAGGGAAGTAACAAGTTGTCATGGACCATTTCCTTTACAGACCATCTAACAAACTTTTTTTGGTTCGTTAATGTAAACACCCATAATATGCTTCTTATTTTTTGCTTTTGCTGTTCTATTTTCCGCAGGTACCCTGTTGCTGTTTGGTGTTGTAAACGATTCGCTTAAAGTTTTTTTTTTGTATTTTCAGGTACCCCGCTGCTTAAAGGTTTATTATTTACTTTATCATGTATTAGTTCCTTAATCTAATTTTAGTCCAGCAAACACTTTCTTTTCATAACTAACTTATCTATGCCTCCATCACGAAAGAGACGTTATACAGTCGATGAACATATTGCATCGTCTAGCAACCATCCTACTGATTCTTTATACATAGACAACGGTGACTGTACCTATGTGTGTGAAAATTGCTATGCCTTATTTTGGTACGATGAGCGTGTTAGTGTAATGTCATCCAATCGAGCATGGTATAATCATTGTTGCAAAAACGGTCAGGTCAAACTTCCATTTTCTATGATTCCTCCTCCGTCGTTGGTCACTTTATTCGATCAACCTGAATTTCTTGCCGATATACGTGCTTACAACAGTATGTTTGCGATGACGTCTTTTGGTGCAAAAGTTGACGAGTCTATAAACATTGGCTATGGTCCATACGTTTTCAAAATTGAAGGTCGGGTTTATCATCGGCTTGGTTCGTATTGTCCTCCACCTAATGAACGCCCCCAGTTCTTGCAAATGTATATATACGACACTGAAAACGAGGTATCTAATAGGATGAGCTTCTTTGCTAATGAAAACCGAACACCCTTAAACTCTGGCATTGTCACTCTACTTATTCAAATTCTTGACAATACTAATAAACTGGTTAGACTTTTTAGGAACGCACGGGACCTTTGTCATTCTTCTGATATACTGACTTTTTCGATTCGTCTATACAATTCCTATAACTCTTCGCGTTATGGCAATCCTACTCCAGGCTGTATAGGTGCAATTTTGAGTGACTTAGATCCCGAGTCTGACGGTTACGACATTGTTATACGTCACAGGGTCAACGGACCTCAACGAATAAACACTCTACATCCGTTGTACATGCCCTTGCAATATCCTCTATTGTTTATACATGGTGAAAGCGGTTGGTCTCATAAACTACGCCTAACTGGTGACGAGCAAGCGAAAGATAAGAAAATAACAATGAACATGTTCTATAGCTACCAATTACACGACCGACTTAATCTGTATACTTTGATCCTAAGAGGCGGTCGCCTTTTTCAACAATACATTGTTGATGCGTATGCTTGCATAGAACAAGATAGACTTAATTATTTTCGATATAATAAAAATGCCCTTCGAAATGAATTCCTTCAGGGTATACATGATGCGGTTATGCGTGGTGATAGTAAAGGAAAAGACATCGGCAAACGAATTTTTTTTCCATCGACATTTACTGGCGGTCCTCGCTATATGTATAAACATTATCAAGATGCATTGGCGATATGCAGAATTCATGGAAATCCACAGTACTTTATTACATTTACATGTAATGTCAAATGGCCAGAAATTTGTAGATACATGGATAGATTTCCAGCGTTAAAAGCCGAAGATCGTCCAGATATTATAGCAAGGGTCTTTCACATGAAATTGCTTTCCTTAACGAACTTTCTCAAAACGCAGAAACCATTTGGAAAAGTTTCAGCAGGTAATCTATTTATTGATTACCAGATGACACAAACGATTCCGTTTATACCAGTAATTTGCATTTTCAAATTAATTTTTTTTCCTAATGTAGATCTATACACAATAGAATTCCAAAAGAGAGGTCTTCCTCACTGCCATCTCTTATTATGGATTGATCACCCAAATAAGATAAAAGACGCCAGCCAACTGGATGAATACATATCTGCAGAGATTCCAGATCCAATTACCGACCCAATTCTATATAGGATAGTAACTGAATCTATGATGCATGGACCTTGCGGAATCGCAAAAGATGACGCCCCATGCATGTCTACAGGATCATGCTCAAAGAAATTCCCAAAGGAATATCAAATGGTATTTACATTTGACAAAAATGGTTACGCACGTTACAAGAGACGTCGAACTTCTCACTTTGTCCAAAAGAATGGAATTTTCTTAGATAACAGTTACGTTGTACCCTACAATCCAGCTTTGTTACTGCATTTTCATGCCTATATAAATGTGGAATACTGTGGATGGAATATGCTAATAAAGTACCTCTTCAAATACATATCGAAAGGAGCTGATCGTATAAAATTCGCTATTACAAAAAATCCCTCTACCATTGCTGATATTAGGACAAATGCTCCTGTTGAAATTGATGAAATCAAAAACTTTGTAGATAGTAGATTTATCTGTCCTCACGAAGCGACATGGAGAATTTTTGATTTCATAATACATTATCGAAATCCTCCCGTACAGGTACTTTATTTAAAACCACAATATTTGCTTACAATTTTAACAACATTACCTGATCACCCACAGTGTCTTTTTAAGGTCCTTGCTGTTCATCTTGAAAACATGCAAAACGTCACATTCAGAGACAATGAACAACTTCACAATGTCGTGTCTAATCCATATGCAAAAGCCACTACTTTAACAGAATGGCTTGCAAATAATAATATTGATGCCAACGGACGCGATCTACGCTATGTTGATTACCTTTCTGAATACCGATGGGTGCAAAACGGAAAACACTGGAAACGTAGAGTCACAGACAGAACACCAGCTATAGGTCGACTAATATATGTCCATCCATCCGCTGGTGAGGCATTTTACCTCCGAATAATGCTGTCACATCAAAAAGGTTGTCGTTCCTTCGAGGACATAAGAACCGTAGGTGGTGAATTACTTCCAACATTTCGAAGTGCATGTGAGAAACTTGAACTGCTTGGAGATGACAACGAATGGTTCACTGCAATTGAAGAGGTTGCTGCATGGGCAACCGCTGCTGAATTAAGATCTTTGTTTACTCATATGTTTTTGTTTTGTGAGATCTCTAATCCTAACCAGCTTTTTCAGCAACAGTGGAAGAAATTTGATGACGACGCATCATATACACAACATATAGTCAATGATGAAGACCAAATGCAATACGTTCTGTATGAAATTGAATTATTATTACGTTCAGGAACGTCAGCTACCTCATTGTCAGCGTTCGGATTACCCATGCCAAAAGCAGAAATGCTAGCAGCTTTAACAAATAGACTCCTCATGGAAGAGAAAAATTACGATAGGAAAAAACTAACAGAAGACCATGACTCATACTATGCTACTCTTCACCCAGAACAGAAGCTTATATATGAATATGTGATGACGAGTCTGAGAAGGAACGAACAGGTTTTGTCCTTTGTATATGGACATGGTGGCACTGGAAAAACCTTTCTATGGAAAACATTAATTTCCGGTCTACGTTCCAAAGGTAAGATTGTTCTGGCAGTTGCTGCATCAGGTATTGCATCGTTGTTACTCCCTTCAGGAAGAACGACTCATTCACATTTCAAAATACCGCTAGATCTTACTGATAGTTCATTGTGTAATATAAAGAAAAACACACAGCTCGCCCAACTACTAATAGAAACAACACTCATAATTTGGGACGAGGCACCAATGAATGATCGTAGGTGTTTTGAGTCCTTGGACAAAAGCCTGAAGGATCTAACAGGCTGTACGGATCAACCATTCGGTCATAAATCAATACTTCTAGGAGGGGATTTTCGCCAGACGCTACCTGTTAAATGCAAGGCATCAAAAACAGAAATCCTAAACTCATCCTTGCCTAGATCACATCTGTGGAAATATTTCAAGGTTTACAGATTAACCGAAAATATGCGCTTACAAAGACCAAACATAGATATAACAAGTACACTTGAGGTGGAAACATTCTCACAATGGTTACTTGCTGTCGGAAACGGAGAATTAGGCATCCCTGAAAATGATGGCCCATGCAATGCCAAGAAAATCGAAATTCCGCCACAATACATGATACCTCCACATGTTTCAGCACTCCAAGAACTAATCGGATTCATTTATGACAATATTACTCTTGAAAACCCAACAATACTAAATCTTTCTGAAAAAGCAATAGTGTGTCCAAAAAATGAAACTGTCCATGAAATAAATATGATGGTTCTGAAGAAGACGGCTGGAAATAGCAAAATTTACTTAAGTACGGACTCAATAATCCTAAACGCTGGTTGTGACGGTGATTCCGGCCTGCTGTATCCACCTGAATACTTACACATGTTAAACTTCAATGGTATACCACCACATCAACTCGAATTGAAGATCAATGCTCCCGTTATACTTATGCGTAACATTAGTCCAATTTATGGCCTATGCAACGGAACAAGATTGATAATTACACAACTTTTATCAAGAGTTATTGAGGCAGAGATAATGACTGGAACAGCAATAGGCTGTAAAGTTTATATACCCCGCATCACTTTGACGCATACAGATAACGAGCTTCCATTTACTTTGAAAAGGAAACAATTCCCGTTGAAACTTTGTTATGCAATGACAATAAACAAAAGTCAAGGTCAATCACTAAAAAAAATAGGCATTTATCTTCCACAACCTGTTTTTGGCCATGGTCAACTCTACGTAGCACTTTCAAGAGCAACATCTCCACAATCCCTCAAACTTCTAACTATTCCACAACCAAATGAACCTGCAAACTTAACCAGAAACATAGTTTATTCAGACCTTTTAACAGAAATAGATAATACTTTTAACCATAATTAAACAAAAGTCAAGGCCAATCGCTAAGAAAAAATAGGCATTTATCTTGCACAACCTGTTTTTGGCCATGGTCAACTCTACGTAACACTTTCAAGACCAACATCTCCACAATCTCTCAAACTTCTAAGTATTCCACAGCCAAATAAACCTGCATACTTAACCAGAAACATAGTTTATATAATACTTTTAACCATATGTTAAGTACCTGTATAGCATAACCAAGGTAAACCTATTATCAAACATATGTCCTACGCATGCTACACTGTCTAATTGTAATGTACTTCTGCTAGGTTATTCAAATATATCAAACCTCTTTAGTATATGATTAATGTAATTATACTATGCCTTTACCTGCTAATGACCATTTTTGTTTATTTTCTTCCGACAGCACAAAATGTATTGGATAGCAGATGTCAAGCCTAATGAAGAACCCATACCACTACGAATCAGAGTTATCAAAAAGTGGAAAACACGCACTACTGAACAAGATTTATGCTATCTGTTTGTAGACAGACATGTACGTCTCCCGTTACACATATGATAAAATATTGATTTCACATACGTATACATATATAAAAAATTCTATTAATCTATTACAGGGAGATGCTATAGAGGCAGTAGCCGACCCAAGGAAAGAACAATCTCTAGATGCCAAAATGACAGTAAATCTATGCTACACTGTAACTGGATATGTTGCACTCCCAGCCAGAAAATCCAGGAGGGTGGTCCAGCATGACGCATCTGTACGTCTCGGCGACACATCCCTCTTCGAACCTCTCTGTGACCTAGACATCCCATCCTACTTTTATGATTTTGCTACATACGACATCCTCCTGGCCAGAAAATTAAACCCAAAACAATTAAGCGGTAACAACAACCTTTTTTAAAATTAACAAAAAAATATACTCACATTTGACCTCAAATTTGTCAATTCGTTTTATGCAGACTATATAGGTCGTGCTGAGACAATATCTCCTCCACTAATCCGAAAAGCAAAAAGAATAAAAAAAGTTAAAATACAAGACCAATGGTTAGTACCTTCCAATATTGAAATGTAGCATACAACGACAACATTCACAAATTCATATTTTAGTAATCACCACTAACAACAGGGCAAACATAATGGAGATCACTTTTTGGGATGAATCCATTTTCCCATATCAGAAAGAGGAAGCAGTTGGCAAGGTTCTAGCAGTTACTGCTACATTGGTAACTGAATATCAAAGTATATACAAACCCTTTTCCTTACTTTACTTTCTTAAACGAATACATGTGTCATTAGTTGTCCAACTACTAACTACTTCCAACAGACAACTTGCAGTTGGAAACTACAGAGGCAACATCAGCGTTCCTCAACCCGCAAATCCCAAATTTACAAAGTATAACTGACAGGTACACAACTACGTACCCTTTACTATATACACTCTAATGCCAAAGTTACAAGCTCAATAAATCTTCAAACTACAGATTCAATCAGCTCAAACACCCAACAGATGTGCAACAAAACCAACAAACCATGTCCATCCATCAAATAGTAAACAAGTTCAAAGAAGATCCAATGGTATGGACTAACTTATCACTGTTACTCTTAAAGTCTTACAATTCATCAGCCTAATATACTAAATAAATATGAAACGCAGCATAACAAGTTTACCTACACAGCAAATGTCACAGAAATCACATTGCACCGAAAGTGGTACTATGTTACATGTCCGCGTTGTCCAAAAAAATTATTCCTACAAAAAGGAATAATCCCACGGTTTGTATGTGAAGACGATGGCTATGTTCCTGAACCAATTTTCATGTAAATCTCATTCCAACTTGAAAAAATTATACTATTCTTTTACATCATCCTTTACATTAACCGTTACTATTTTCAAATGACCAGGTATTGTGTAAACACAACAATTGCAGATGAAAGTACAAATGCAAAAGCTATATTCTTCAATGATGCCATGACACAAATGCTTGAAAAAAGTTGCCACGACATGGTCATCACACATGGACATTCAGACCCGGACATAATTCCTTCAGAAATACTCGACATACGAGGAAAAACTATGGTCTTCGATGTTGCTATGAAGAAGGACGGAACAATGGCAATTAACAAGGCAATACCACAAACGGCACTCGAACCGGTAACACCAAATCCCAAGGCAATAGTAAAAAGACATCCGCCATCATCACAGGGTATACATACTTGCTTATCGCATTTTTTAAGTGTGTTACATGTAACATACATTTAATTTATTTTAATGCACTTGTAGCACTTGACATGCCGCGTAAACAAAAGAAATGTTAGATACAACTGTATGGATTTTGATGCGTACCAAAGGAGGAATTTTGACAACGACAAACAAGAGATGGATCTGTGCTCCTCAATCATAGGATAAGGCCAAAAGAAAAGAGGCAGCACCTTTTGTATTTTGCAACTATATCCTATAATTGTAGTTAATTGTCGTATCGTTTCGTACCTCCCGAAACTGCAAGTAACTTTTTAAATGTATGAATGTATATAACTTCTATATACTTCCTATATAATTCTTTGTCCATCATAACAACCAACTTTCTACCATTTCTTAAATACATCACTGCCGCCGCAACGCGCTGCACCTGTAAAATTCTAGTTAAAACCTAAAACCATTCTTTAAAATTATTACATCTTTGAAAGAATTACATAAAAAACCTACACACTCTTCAACGAATTACATAAAAAACAAAACATTCTTGAAAAGAACGTAATGTTTAAGCAACCTCATAATTCTCAATCATTGTTTATATCATTTTCACTCATTCTTTTTCTTTTAGTACCCTAACAATTTGATGTTTAAACGGATGACAAATTGTTGATTATCGACATGGGGATTTGTTGGATTAGCATCGTCATAATTCGGTTGTGGGGGCATTGATCTTTGAGTCTCTCTACAAAATATACCTCGGACTAGAACATACGATCCAAAACGTAATACGTATGCACTTTGTCAATCCCTGGTGACTTTGAGCATCACATCAATAAAAGTAGTAATAATAATTAAAAAAAACGGTGAAGAGGAGACATTTAATTACCTTCATTGGTACACGTATAATAGAACAAAAAACTCCACCAACAACACTTGTTGTATACATTTAGGGAAATTACGTTTAAAATACAACCGAAGTAATAAGAGGGAAATTATTTTCACATATATACCTATGTATTTGTATATAGCAAAAACCCTTTTGCAGGAAATATAGGAAAAAAACAACACAAAGATTAACAAGTTTATTATTGAAAACTCACCAGGTGAGCCAAAGCACTAGCCACTAAGATTTTTAGGGTAGCTTTGTAAGTTCATATACACCAATAATTGTCTATGCAACGAAATGATTAAAAGAAATTATAAGCATTTTCCCTAAAATAGGAAAACATAAGCGTTTTATAAAAACTAAATAAAAATACATAGAGGTCAATAAGAATACCAATGATACCAATATTAACTGAGGGAAAAAAAAATTAAAACTTACGGTAACGAGTACAATCCCATCAAGATAATATTGTCCACCACAAACTGTCTATCATGAAACAATGGAAATATATAAGAACTCTAAAATGAATCCAATTAAACTGGTCAGATTGGTTTAAATAAGATTGTATTAAATTAAACTAGTATCCTACAACAATAGTTTATTCAAGTGAGTTTCTTGGTTAATCAATTGAAAATTAAGGAAAGAAACATACCGATTGGCGCGTGATGTGCATAAGCCAGTTGAAATTTTGGGTATGCTTCGAAAAGCATGTAGCGGTAGCTTCCCTTGCTTAATCTGGCGGTGAGGACGGGGAATAACGGGGAATACGATTTGGGTTTTGCAGTTGCTATCTACGACTGCATCAATCTCCCCCACGATGGAGGGCAGGAGCAAAATCGATCGGTGGTGTTCTTTTAGGGCTTGTAGGTGTAAAACTCAGAGAGGCTGGAGTAGCTGGAGGGTAGGAGACGCCCAAGATTTCTTGAGCGTAGACTATACCAGAGGTCACGTAACCTGATTAAAGAGTTGACCATTGAGCAATGGTTTATGCAGTTCAGAAAACAAAGCTGAATTTCTATTTCAATCGATATTAGGGCTTTTGTCGGCCATCACCGATGGTAGCAGAAGATGAAAATAACGAAACACATGGAACCAAAATCCATGTTTGGAATGGAATCGACCAATGGTTTATGCAGTTCAGAAAACAAACCTGGATTTCTATTTCAATCGATATTAGGGCTTTTGTCGGCCATCACCGATGGTAGCAGAAGACGAAAATAACAAAACACACGGAACCAAAATCCATGTTTGTGAGAGGTGTAAACGGATACAAAAGCGTATGAGAAGAAGCATGGAGACGGTAATATCTGGTCTACATTCGTGTATGTATTTGATTAGATAGTCGATGTAGGAGGTGGAAGCGGTGACTGGTAGGTTTGATTGGAAGCCAGAAAAAGGAAACTAAGATGCGAAGGGTACTCGGCAGAAGAATAAAAGTAGAACAGAGGAATGGATAGACAATGGTACTCCTGAAGCTCATGAAGAAAACGGAAGAAGTGAAAAGCTGTGGAAGTGAGCGGCGGAGAGAAGCGGTGGGGTGGGAAGCACAATCGACGAACACAGGTTGAAAGCATCTCGTATTCAGGTATCGAGTAGTGGAGGCGGTGGGAAGGATGCGTATCGGTTACAATGGAAGAGGGAATGAAAAATGACACGTATTAGTTACAATGCAGATAAATGTCCATATCATCAGCAAAATATAAGGGCAAGAAGAGCATAATAGAAAGGGGAATTTTGACAAAAGACAACCCAAAATTTCCAAAATGTTCAAAAGAAATAATAGAAGGACCAATCCTATCAATCCCTTAGCTACTTTACTGTAGCTAAGGGTGGATAAATTTAATATATAGTATAATAAAGTTTATAGAACATGTATAAAGATAACGTCGTTAAGTGCACATTGCAAAAAAAGAAACTTACTCGAGGCTGCAATTTTGCAATGGGAGAGACAAATCATTCATGGTAATTTGCTATGGACGAGTTCGACGGTATATGCATCTGAGATTGGAATGGGAACTCTGATTCATTGTTGGTTGGAGCATCAACAGAGTATAAAACGAGCCCTAATTAATAAACCCAAAACTAATACGAACATGAGATAACGAAATAGTGGTGCCCATTATCGACTTTATTGTAGTTTATTGCTTTTTTTTTTTTAAACGGCAAATCTAACCTGCTCCTAAACTAATTCTTAAATCCATATATGTTCACGATGGGACTTAAAACCTCAACCTCAAGGAAGGAGGACAACACCGGATACCGCTGGGCTATAAGCTTATTGCTTATTAGCTTATAACTTAGTAGCTTATTAGCTTATAAGTTAATAAGTAAGTGTATGGTAATTTATGAAAAAATGACTTATTAGAAGTTCTTCACCGGAATAAGTTACTTTTCCTCTAAACACTTTTTTAATTTATAGCGGCATGGAACCTCTAATATACTAAGAAGTTGTTTTAACAAGCTTAGCCAAACACCCCTTAAGTGGTATATATGCTTGTTAGGAAATATTAGGACGGTTCCAATCGGGAAGTGCCCGAGGAATGTTTGTATGCTTGATGTCTTCGTGATTCTTGCATGTGTCTGTTTTTTATGTTCCAGATTTCGGTCCGATACCGGGCAATGCCTGAGGAATGTTTGTATGCTTCTGGATTTCGGTCTGATGTTGGGCGGGGCCTGAGGAATGTTTATATGTTTGTTTTATGTGATTATTTATGTGTATTTGTTGATATGTTTATATGTATACCGAGCTCTGCTCAATGCCGGGCGGGGCCCGATGTCGGATTTCGATCCGATGCCGGGCAGGGCCCATGATATGTTATTATATGAATTACATGTGATTCACATGTAAATCACAAGTGAATCACGTATGAATTACATGTGATTCATATGTAATTCACATATAAATCACATCCAATTCACAAGTGAAACACATATGAATTACATGTGATTCATATGTAAGTCACAAGTGAATCACATATGAATTACATGTGATTCACATGTAATTTACATATAAATCACATGTAAATCACAAGTGAATCACACATGAATTACATATGATTCATATCTAAATCACATGTAAATCACGTGTAAATCATAATGAATCACATATGAATTACGTTTATATGCACACATACATTTAGTGTCACTTTTATTCGTTAATTAGTTTTTAATATTTTCTTTTGAATTTCACATTTGAAAAATGTTCCAAGTAGGACACGATGGTTGATTCTACTTGTGAATAAGAGTACATAGTAGTAAGTGAACAATAAAAGGAAACAACTTGGCTGAAGAACTTTATCGGCGATCTCGGAGTAGTTCCGACCACTCAGGAGTCAATGGAACTTTTCTACGATAATGAATGAGCGGTTTCTTTAACCAAAGAACCAAGAGATCATGGTAAATCAAGACATATCGATAGAAAGTACCATTATATTAGGCATAGAGTTAAAGAAGGTCATCTCATAGTGAAGAGAGTTTCATCAGAAGATAATCCTGCAGGTCCTCTCACAGAGGCTCTGAGTAGGATTAAGCATCGTCAACATGCTAGGACAGTGGTTTGAGAGATGTCATTAGTTTTAGTAGTTAGACAATTAGTTTCAAACTTGTAACAAAATAAACGTAATTGATTTTTGGTGATTGAATAATAGAGACTATTTATGAGTATTGTTTATCGTCTTTGTCAATTATTTATTCGTGTGTTTCGTTTTGCATGTTTTACTTCCTGAATAATTTGATTATTTTAAGCTCCGCAGTCGCTCATACTTTAGGAAGTAAGTAGTGAATGAAGACTTTCATGAATTGGATTGCAGATTGTCTAAGGAGTTTAGACATAGTAATTGTGTTGCTACAACGTTCATGAGTACTTATAAAATGGAGATTTGAGTATTGGATAAACCCACGGTTAGTAAATTACTTCATGGATTCTATCACGAGTAATTTTGAGATGATAATATCTTATATTCTTAAAATGGAGATATATGAGTTGTAATTTACAAATCGATTGTACATTGGTATTGCGTAAACGCATCTGTAACTTGATGTTATAAAAAGTAGTATCATGTATGATTTGGTGAGTAAAGGATACAAGCATATGAGTTAAAGTTTATTTGTTCCTTTTGCCTTAACGAGAAAAATGATATATTTGGTCCCTTCCGTGATTTGGTGTTAACTTATAGTGATGGGCCCAGCCAGGACTAAATTGATGTGTTCAATTAGAAGTCTTATATCCTCATCATAAATAAGGAAATTGGGAAATAGAATTTTGGACAATAAGATTGATTCTAATCCATGTCTCATATCCATATGATATCTAGAAGAACAAAGGAATATTTGATCACTTATCTAAGGACTGTTGGATTAGGTGTCTAAGCCATAACTATAATTGGTATGTACTTGAATTGATAGCAGCACAATCCTTTTGGGTTGCCCTCAAACCTAGCAACCAGACAAGGAAATTATGAAAGGAGAGATATTAATTTATTATAAG